TATTACACTAATTATAAATATAGATATAATTATAATTGTAATTGTATTTTTAATTATAATTACTTATATAATTATAATTGTAATTATAATTACAATATTTATCTCTATAATTGTAACTATAGTTATCAATATTATTATAATTACTCCGTAAAATAATTACAATAGTAACAATAATAATAATATTAATAATTATAATAAAAATAATAATTATAATCATAAATTATAACTATAATATAATTATAAGTATATTTATAATTAATAATAATTATAATTATATTAACATTAATTATAATATTATAATATAATAATAGTAATATAAATACAATTAATATTATTATAACGATATTATTATATTAATATTATTATTACAATAACATAATAATAATATTATTATTATAATTATTATTATATTATTATAATATTATATTATAATTAAAATTATAATCATAATTATAATTATGATTGTAATTATAATTATTATAATTATAATTAATTACAATTATAATTATAATTAATTATAGATATAATTATAATAATTACAATTGATATACTTATAATTATAAGAATTATAATTGTAAGTATAATTATAATTACATATAATTATAATATAATATTATAATAATATTAATCATATTATTATTATTATAATATTGTAATAATAATAATAGTCTTCTTAATAATTGCATTTATATTACTATTATTATATTAAAATATTATAACTATATTAATATCTTATTTTTTTATCATATTATTATTAATATTATTAATAATAATTATATAATAATAATCATAATACTAATAACAACAATAATAATAATAATAATTAATATAATAATAAAAGTGATAAATCATGTTTGAACTTTTCTGATCTGATCTGATCTGATCTGAATGTTTCTGATCTGATCTGAATGTTTCTGATCTGGTCTGGTCTGATCTGAATCTTTCTGATCTGATCTGAATCTTTCTGGTCTGATCTGATCTGATCTGAATCTTTCTGATCTGATCTGATCTGATCTGAATTTTTCCGATCTGATCTGATCTGATCTGAATTTTTCTGATCTGATCTGATCTGATCTGAATAAAATAAGAATAAGTAATAAGTAATAAGAATAAGACGAACAGAACAGCACCTTAGTATAGGAAAGACATCTGTCAGAATGAGAAAACAGGGGGGAGTGTAACGGGCTAAGTGTAACGGGTTCTATATAATATTATGCCCGATAATAAAGTGGTATCATATCAAATAATATTATGACTGATAATAAAGTGGTATCATATCATATCATAGATTTATGTCTTCTTATGCGATGACAATAAATAAGAACTAAGGTCAATCTTTAACCCATCTTAGACTCTTATTAAAGAAACCTGCCTTTATGCATGGTCAATTGTAGTGGTAGTATCTAGAGTGACAAATCGTAAGGATTTGAAGATATTGATTTACAGTGAAGATGGAGAAAACACTGACCGTACTACAAATGTTATTTATAAAGTAGTCTTTGGAAATGTTTAGTCTTGGTAGATCTCATTGTATGCTTTGAATGTTATTTACAAACAAGTGTTTCAAAATTTATTATAAGCTTCAATTTTTCCTCCTTATCCTAACATATAAATTGTACCAATTATTACTGATAACTATATTTTTTCTATAATTATTGTACATTATTCATATATATTACATGCGTATAAAAATATCATCTACCCATTCATTAATAAAGTTAACAAATAAGATTATTTAACTCTTCGATAATATGGTTCGTGCATCGTAAGGGTGAAAATCTAGTCTGTCATAAACACCGTGATGTTCACCAAGTGAGCTACACGGGCCTACACCAACCTTTTGAAGCGTGATATTTGCTGCTTGTAATTGTGGTGGTGTGTAATTTTTGTGTTCACCTTATGTCTTGGTTCAGACAGTAAACATTTTAGGACCAAAAAATTGAGATTTCAGCTCTTTCGAAATAATTGGAAGAATCCAAACATCAGTAGTGAAAAACGAGAGTATGGTCAAATTGGAAAGCAAAGTTATACATTCTCAAATTAGTCAGGTTTTAAATAAATCAAATAAACATGCATTTAATGTTTTCTAGTCATTCTTTAACACTCGCAGAAGGTTTTCCATATTCCATTCATCAAAAGAGTTATTTATTTTTCCTTTGTTTTTGGTACCTAAAAATATCTTAATTGATATCAATAGTATTGTTTTTCCTTCTTCTTTTGGCACCTAAGAAACTCTTACTCTCAAATTAGTCATTAAGGTTTTAAATAGATTAAATCTATGACAAACTTGCATCGCCAATGTTGGTTAATACTTTTCGACTCTTATTCTAATTTGAGTTTGTAAGGAACAATAAACTGATTTTCCAAATTTCAATTATTATTCTTGCTATATCCTCAATTTTCATCAAATCTAGTACCATCCTATATCCGGAAATAACTGCAAAACTGAGTTAGGCACACATTATGAAACATTCCTCCAACTTGCGTTTTCCCAAGTCTATCTTCGGTTACATATGTTTCGTAAAAGAAATTGCTTTAATTAGGATTAAGACATGAACAAAATCGTTGCAATTATTTAAGAATGGAGAAAGTACAAATATATTTTTAGAGAGGAAGTGCAACATTGATATTTCAATTGATCCCATATTTTCATGAAATATCCCGTATTTTTATGTGATGTGACTAAGTGATATTGTTAGCCGTCATGCCCCTACCACAACACTCTTCTCTTTTATTTTGACTTGGGACGGACATAAAATCTCATTGCAAAGTTATTTTAGGTAGGAGGTATAAAACATGTTTTAGGGAAACATTGTCTATATGTAGCTTCTTTTAAAGGGACGGAGTGCAGCGTTATATTTGGATATTAAAGGTTGACATCGAGGATGCAATACATCGTTGACAAATGATTTGAATGAGCTCACTGAGCATCTTGACATGTTTAGTTATGATATTAGTGGACATAAATGGATCTACAGACAATGAAGACATTAAAACTACACAAAAGAGTCATGTTTCTGTCCAAGGAAACTGGTGATCAAGAGATTCAGGATACAGGAGAGTCCCCGAAGAGGCTGCAACAAAGACCTGATCAATGAGAATATGGGGAAGCATCCTCTGCCTGAGGGATAAGCTGTGTTATTCTTGTGCAATAAGCTTCGTATGGAGATCCAGGAAAATAGGGGATGGAAGTGACCAGGTGCTCATATTCCAAACCAAGCCCAATAATGGTGTAATGAAGATGTGGAAACTGGAGAGTTATTAGCTGCAAGGGTATCTGTATCACCGGAGATGGTGATTCATGCTCTGATAGATTGATACTATTCCCAACACGATATAAAAGTCGTTTCATCTCCATAGACCGAGCAAGATTAGCATACATGAATCACATCTTCAAATGTTCCCAAATTAAGGCTGAATAAATTCAACCAAAATCTCTCAAAATTGCGTGAAAACATCCATGAACGAACAGTATGATCAATTTCCAGCCAATGAAAACAGACTGGATTGAGTGAGGCATTCACAATGTATTGAATCAGATACATACATGGCCAGTGCAGTAACAGTTTCATCCATGGTTTATTCAGAATATCAAATAGGTAGTAACAAAATCTAACACTACAAACGCCAAGTGACAGATATCATCAAGAGTTCAATTTTTTATGTTCTAAATACTTTCCAGCCAGAGAATCAAAGAGCAGACCAGCACCAACACCGACAGCCAAATCAATGGTGTAGTGACCCCTGGTGGTGAGCAGCCTAAGTGCTTGCAAAGCATTGAGCACATCAAAGACCAGTGCCAACCTCATCCTCTGCATCCTCCTCGTGTCAAGAGAAGCAATCACAGCAGCCGCCTCATGCCCTGAGTAGAACAGGAAAAAAGACGCATTCCCTACTGGGAAATCAGCTCCTGATCCCAAGAAATCCTGAGGCAAAGGTAACTGGGGGGGTCACTAGGGGGTTCTCAGATGTGGTGGCCGGAATTGGTCACTGGTGGCAGTGCAGGCAGCACTGACTGGTCAATGGCGGGGGTGTGAAGGACGGTGACACGAGATTGGTCACTGGTGAGGGCGGGGACTGGTCACTAGTGGTGGCGGAGAACTGGTCACTAGCGGTGGTTGAGGACTAGTCACTAGTGGTGGCAGCGTACAGGTCACTGGCGGCAGCGGGGATTGGTCACTGGCGCCGGCAGGATAGGTCACTGGCGGCAGCGAGGTAGTCATTAGCGGTGAGGTCACTGGCGGCGACACAGACTGGTCACTAGCGTATTAGGTCACTATCAGATGAAGTCACATGAGGTTAAGGGTAAATTTGTAAGTGTAAGACTAATTAGTCACATTTTTTGAATTTTTTTAAAAAGATCACTTTTTAGTCTATGGCTAATATTTTAGTACGGAGTAATATTTACGACATAACCCAATAGAATTTGCAAATAAACTCTGTTTTCATTCTTGTTAAGTACGTACAATATATAAACATTAAAAATCAAAATAAAGAAACAACTTATATGTTCAACCACTCAACTTCATGATGAAAAAGCAATTGTTCGAGATTAGGGATTTTGACTTTATTATGAATTCCACCACCACTCATAACACCAAAATCAGAATTGATGTCAAAGCTATGAAAAACTTGCAACGCTAATGTTGGTTACTACTTTTTTGACTGTTACTCTAATTTGAGTTTGTAAGGAGCAATAAGCTGATTTTCAAATTTCAACTATTATTCTGACTATATCCTCAAACTTTCATTTTTCAACTATTATTCTGACTATATCCTCAAACTTTCATCAAAATGAATAGTATCCTATATTGGGAAATAACTGCAACATTGAGTTAGGCACACATAGTATGAAACACTCCTCCAACTTTTGCTTTCCAATTCTATCCCAGGTTACACATGTTACGGTAAACGGAATTCCCTAAACAGGACGAAATTGCTTAAATAGGAGTCAGACATGGACAAAGTCTTACTTATTGCAATTATGTAAGAATGTAGGAGGCTTACAACATTTTTAGGGAGGAATTATAAAACATTTTTTTATGGAAACAATGTATATGTTGCTTCCTTTAAAGGGATAGAGTGTGGCATCATTTTTGGATATTAAAGGTTGAGACAAGGATGCAAGACATTGTTGGGAAATGAGTTGAATGAATTCAGTGAGCATCTAGACATGTTTAGTTATGATATTAGTGGAGACAAATGTATCTACAGACAACTAGGACATTGAAATTACACAGAAGACTCATGTTTCTGTCTAAGGAAACTGGTGGTCAGGATACAGGAGAGTTCCCGAAGAGGCTGCAACAAAGACCTGATAGATGAGAATATGCAGAAGCATCCTCTGCCCAGGGAAATAAGACATGTTATTCTTGTGCAATAAGCTTCATACGGAGAGATCATCAGAAGTAAGGGATCCAGGAAAATACGAGACAGAAGTAACCAGGGCTCATATTCCAAATCGAGCCCAAGAATGGTGTACCGAAGAAGATCATGGAAACTGGAGAGTTATTAGCTGCAAGTGAATCTGTCATGACCTTCACATCGAGGGATAGTAATCCAGACTCTAAGATTCTGTATTCTGAAGTCTGAACATGCGATAAAAGTCATTTCAACTCCATACAGCTAGCAAGATTGGCGGACATAAAACGCATCTTCAGACGTTCCCAAATTAAGGTTGTATAGATTCAACCAAAATCCCATGAAACTGAGTAGAAAAATCCATGAAAAAACGGAACAGTCTGATCAATTTTCAACCACTGAGAATAGACATTCGCAATGCAGTGTGAATTCAGATACATACAAGGCCAGTAAAAGATTAATTTCGGCTATGGTTTATTCAGAATATCAAATAGGGAGTAACAAAATTTAACACTACAAATGCCAAGTGACAGATATCATCAAGAGTTCAATTTTTTATGTTCTAAATACTTTCCGGCCAGAGAATCGAAGAGCAGACCGGCACCAACACCTACAGCCAAATCAATGGTGTAGTGACCCCTGGTGGTGAGCAGCCTAAGTGCTTGCAAAGCATTGAGCACATCAAAGACCAGTGCCAATCTCATCCTCTGCATCCTCCTCATGTCAAGAGAAGCAATCACAGCAGCCGCCACATGCCCTGAGTAGAACAGGAAAAAAGACACATTCCCTACTGGGAAATCAGCTCCTGATCCCAAGAAATCCTGAGGCAAAGGTAACTGAGTAGCATAGCCCAGAATTCCTCTGGTGGTGAACATGAACAAAGCCGAGATTGTGGCTCTTGGGCGCCCTTCAATTACCCACGCCCAAATGATATAAGCCGTTTGCATCCCCACGAATGCCGTATTCAGGGCCGCCAGGAGCGTATTGACCGCCGGCGATGAAGCAAGCGTGCGGTGCAAGTGGACTGTGGCGGCGAACCCGAGATCGAACGGCGGAGAATTGTGCGGTATCATGCGCAGGGTGTACTCCACCCCCATGAATGACAGAACCGCGAAGAAGAAGGCGCACAGTACGGTGTGCTGCCTCGCCACACTCAACGCATCCCCGGCCGTCCACGTCGTGAAATGAGCGTTTCTCAGCGACCACCCGCCGCCGTCCTTATTACCCACTCCCGGCGTCGATTTCTTCTTCATTTCCCCGACGGAAACGTCGCTGGAGGTTGTGCCTCTCGACCTGTCACCGACGGCGGAAGATCTCCTGTTCTTGTTTCCGTTCATATTTCGCCGGTCATCGCTGATGCCTGATGGTCGGTTTTATAAGAGATTCAGACGATGGCGGAGCCTCCGATGTGTAGTTTCCTGAAATTAAATCCGCCTGTCTAGGGATTTCAATTTACCGACCTCCCATGATTCCAGTGAGAACTCATTATATGCCTTTCTGACTTTTCAATTCTCAATTTTTAAACTCACATTTCTCACTTGATTTTTGTGGTAAAACTTTTTTCATGTTTACAAATGAGTTCGCTTATTCATAACATTTTACCGTTTATATTTTTTAAAGTGTCTTTTAGCATCTTACTTGGGAGTGGAATTCTTGGCCATTCTCCCTCCTAAAAGTGCGGGTCAAATGTGGGTTGTAATCCAATCCTTGATGGCAACGCTTTATCGCTCGGAAATTCAAGGGGTTTAAGTCTGGTCATCAATGTTAAGGTTTGGTTTGTTTGCTTGAATGAGATGGATCTGATGGTGTGTAGACAAACCATTATCTTTAACCTAGTACGGAGTAATATCTACTCCCTACGCCTCTAGGAAACTTGGAGTGTTTCGTGGGATGCATCTACTCATCACGTGAGAGTCTAAAGAACAACTGTTTTTCTTATCCGTGGACAATTACCATTATATATTCACAAACTCAAGTCTTTTAGGATGGTTAGGGCATTTTAGAAATAATAAAAATGTTGGTGTAACACAATAGCAAGATGTACTTGTACACTTAGAATTAGTCATTGTACCCTTCATCATTATCCATGTTTGAGCTCCTTTATCTCCGTTAAAATGAAATCGGCAGTTTCTAATTAACATTCTCCGTGACCTTTGTTTTTTACATTGGTACTTAAGTACTTAATTAATTGATTTGATTTCTACTGTGTAACTAATGCTTACATTAGTTTTTGCATTTCAAACCTTTCCTCTATGTTACTTATGTTTTACGTAGAAGAAAATTTGTATCATTCTCCTTTCGGAATGAAATGAACGATACTCTAGCAAAACTTTCGTATGGATTATGAAAATGATTTCTTTGAAACTGCCTCTTGTGAAATAATGGGAAATAGGTACTTCAATAGGAGTCCTGACAGATATATTTATAATAGAAGAGTTGCCAAAATACAAAGTATTCCTAAATAGATATTAGACAGATTCCTAATTAAGATCTTGTGGCCGTAATGATTTGACTACATCTTTTTTGTTAGGAGTTGTTATCTCATCTTATTCTTAATGCTTATTGCGCATTCATATTTATTAAGGTGAAGCCGCATATGTGTGTAATGGTTTGTTTACATTATACGATTAGCTTAGAAAAATATATTTCATGTATACAACATTGGGCATTTACATATATAGTCGCACATCGCACGTGTAAAGAACTATAAATAATAGGAAAGGCAAAGACGACAACACACCCCAAACTCATCATTTATCATTTACTACGTATCATTCTTGCTTTTCTGCTCGGTATTTCATGTCTTCTTGAGTTCTTGAATATGGATGAAATAATGAACAACAATTTATTCAAATGATCTTATTATACCACGTATAAGACACAACACAGAGAACGCATACAGTTGTCATTATGTGCTTAGAAAATGAAGGCTATCTCTCAAAAAGAAGGATATCTCATATATTCGGTTCCTGTGCAAAAGAAAATAAAGGTGCCTCTTTGGTTGATGTCTAAAAGAAGAAATACAACGGCCTCTTTGTTACATGTTTTTCTACGCACAAACATTTATTATGGTGAAAACAGTATAAACAAACAAACAAACAAATAAATATATATATAAATAAATAAATAAATAAATAAAAACCCAGAAATAATATTACGTAAATACCATTTGATTTGTGCAGAAGTGATTTGATCACTTCTGGAGAGGATAGTGGGAGAAAAAACCAGGGAAATGGACTGGATGGTAAAAGAGAAGAAAGTTTATTGAATTAAAGTCCAAATTGGAGATCCAAAAACAAAAGCTAAACAATTGGGAGTGTGTTTTTGTGTCCTTATTATGGAAGAAAAGGTGGGGCGGAGTAGAGATCAGAAAGGGAAGGGAGAGGGGTGAAATTCATCAGTGGGATAAAAAAAAGGCTAAAGGGTCAAATAAGCCCTTAAACTAACTCAAAGTGTTCAATTAGCCCCTTTTATAGAAGGTTCTGCCTGGCCGTCGTCAATTGAGGCGGTCCCCGGTGGAATTTTAAAATTTTTTTGAAATTTTTACATCCGACAAAGTCCCCTTTTCTATTTCTTACACATTATAGTGATTGTAGATAGAAAAGTTGAAGATGAATGAATTGAATGAGTTAATTTGTAGGATGGCACGTTGGTAGTGTTGGACCCAACTACCGGGTCGAGCCTAAGCCCAGCCGGGCCAAAAAAAATCACTGAGGCCCGGGACCGGCCCCGCGGCCCGATAGTTGACCGGTGCTGGTCCGAGTCCGGGCCGGGTCGGGTCCGTTTTTTTTTTTTGGTTTTCTTGATTATTTTATCCCCACCCCCATCCCACAAACCCATCTGAAAACCCATTCCAGCCCATTTAAACCCAGCCCAAAGGCCCAAACAAAAAAAACAAAAAAAAAATTGAAAAGGCCCGGACCGGGCTCGGAACTGGCCGGGCCGGTTCTTAATTCCTTCAGCCCGTACCCGCCCCTGGTTTCCCCTTCAAACCGGGCCTAGACCCAGTACCGGTACCCGGGCCGGGCCGGGCCCAAACAGTGCCGGACCGGTTCCCGGGCCGGGTGGCCCGAACCGGGTTCAAACCTACACGTTGGTCCAGAGAATGCTCTTGAATAACTTTTTAATGAGAGAAAGTTTTTGTTTAATCATAAAGCTATCATGAGCTTCCAATTTGTAATGTGAAATTAGCACGTCAGGAATCAACCAGTTGAAGGTTGGATAGTTTGGGGTGTGTTGTCGTCTTTGCCTTTGCTCTGATACAAGGATTTGAGTTTGTGAATATATACCACATATAAAACAAACTTTAAGAAATAACTTCTTTTGATCTGATACAACAACTCTCAGATCTTATTTTCAAAAGAGTCTGGAATCTAATAGAATTTCTTTTTGGTATGATAACTCAAAATGATTTTGATGATTTGCCTCTCAGGTTTAAAAGAAAGAGATAACTCAAAATAAACTCTCCTCCTTCGCAAATTATACCGTGGGATCGGCCCACCATGAGCATGGTGTGCCGATCCCAAAACGGTACAATTTTATGCTTCCTATTAAAAAAACATCAATTGCCGGATCCCCTTCGTCTCCTTCGTTGTTTCAGCTCACCATAGAACTCCGCCGCACTCCAGATGTTGGACCAAAAGTCATTCCAAGAGTTCTTTGCATAAAAAAGAATTGTGTTTACATACCTGCTTCTCAAATACGAATTGTGCATCGCATCAAATAGACCCAAACAAAAGATTATCATTCAATCGCCCCATTCAACATATCCCTTTTTTAATTCTGAAATTGCAGGTGCCATATTTTGGATCTGGAGTATTGCGTATATGTGGGTAAATATAAATATATAATGACTTCAAGCTAAATGTTTGTTTTAGTATATATGTATAATACGAATAATGTTTTGAATATGAAAGTTCAGATTCTAATGAAGAAGACTCACCTTCGTTACATATTGAAGATGACTGCTATGAACTATTTTAGACCTCCTCTAACTTACATTTTACTCACACTCAAGTTACACCAACGTTTGCCTAAAGTTACATATCTATTAGCGTGAGTTACATGTCAACTTTCTTCATCAAATTACATCTCGCTTACATGTAATTTACATTTTCCATAATGCGAGTTACACCACAATATAATGTGAGTTACACAACCCAATAAGCCCTGCTATTCAAAGAAAAATTATTTTCATAAAAAACATTTTTATAGATTTGATATTAAAAACAAAACATATACAATATTTATGTAAAATAATTGGGCAAATAGTTTTCTTCTTTTCATTATTTATATTGAAATCAATGTTTTATTTCTTATACTATGTATTTGACAAGTTACATTTCGACTGGACTTGAGTTACATTGATCAATAACATGAGTTACATTATTTTACACGCGAGTTACATCATTCATGTTTTTGGGACAAAAAATAGTCACTGTTCACGCTTTACTGTTCACGTGTTACTGTTCACGCGATTTTTTTTAAATATGCAAAACTACATCGTTTTGAGATGTGGAGTGCGGTGCTCACCGTGGGTTGATCCCACGGTATAGGAACTGCTCCTCCTTTGTTCTCGCTTTTTTTTCTTTTTTACCTCTTCGAATTTAATCTATATTTTTTAATGCTCGGTAGTAATCTAAAACTCATATATGAACTAAAAAATAAACAACAACAAAATTAACACGATTTGATGATTATTTTTAAATCAAACCAATTGAACTTTTAAACTCGGTACTCTAATAGTTACTAGTAATACATATGCATCATGATATGACATGTACACAGTACATAGTAATTATAAGATTTATAGCATCAAATATGAAGCGGATACATTATCACAGTACAAAGTAGTCGGAAGACGAACAGGAAATCCCAATTCAAACAACACTGATCGTATGTGAAGAGTGTCCTGAACAGCGTAAGCTATGGCACGGTATTCAGCTTCAGTGGACGAACGAGCAACAGTAGGTTGCTTCTTGGACCGCCAGGAGATAAGATTGGGCCCCAGAAAGATGGCATAACCAGAAGTAGATCTGCTTGTGTCAGGACATCCAGCCCAATCAGCATCAGAATATGCAATGATCTCAGCAGAGCCACGCGAAGACTGTAAGAGAAGACCATGAGAGGATGTGCCCTGGAGATACCTGAAAATACGCTTAACAGCCAACATATGTGAAGTGCGTGGAACATGCATAAACTGAGAAACCAGGTGTACAGCAAAAGTAATATCTGGTCGAGTCAAAGTCAAATACTGTAATGCACCTACCATACTTCTGTACTCTGTGGCATCAGCTAGGAGCTCGCCATCAGTAAGGGAAAGTTTAGTACGACTAGGAAGAGGGGAGCGCACAGACTTTAAAGTATGAAGATGAAACCGATGAAGCAGATCAGAGATATATTTTTGCTGAGATAGAAACAAACCAGAAGGTGTACGAGAAGCATGAATACCAAGGAAAAAATGTAAATCACCTAAGTCCTTCATGGCGAAGCATTTATTCAGAAGAGACAAAAAATGATTAACAAGGTTAAGAGAATTACCTGTAACAATAATATCATCAACATAGAGGAGCAGGTAAATAATATCAGAATTACGCCGAAAAATAAATAAAGAAGTATCAGACCGACTGCAAGTAAAACCATGAGAAAGAAGAAAGCTACTAAAACGGTGAAACCAGGCACGAGGGGCTTGTTTAAGACCATAGATGGCTTTACGAAGCCGACACAAGTGATGAGGAAATTGAGGATGAACAAAACCTGGGGGCTGACGCATATATACTTCCTCAGTCAAATTACCATGCAGAAACGCATTTTTAACATCAAGTTGGCGAATGGGCCAATTAAAGGACACGGCTAAGGTCAAGACCAGACGGACAGTAGTAGGTTTAACAACAGGACTAAATGTTTCAGTAAAATCAATACCTGCCTGCTGATTAAACCCCTGAGCAACCAACCTTGCTTTGTAGCGTTCTACAGACCCATCAGCCAAATACTTGGTCTTATAAATCCATTTTGACCCAACCACATTCTTTTTAGCATCAAATGGTACTAAATCCCATGTATGATTGGAGATAAGAGCATTAAATTCCTCTGCCATAGCAGCTCTCCACTTAAGATGCCTATTTGCTACAGAAAAACAAGTGGGATCGGGTGTGCTAACAACTGTGTTTAAAGTAAAAATAGTTTTTGGTTTAAAAATACCGGATTTAGACCGGGTTTGCATTGGATGAACATTACCGACCGGGGCGGTGGAGTCAGGAGACGCGGGCTGTGAGCTACTGTCGGCCAGGGGGTGGGATGCTGCTGGGATATTAGATAAAGGAGAGCAGCTGGTCTGGGGAGAAGGGTCGACCAGAGTGGTGTGGTTGTTGGAGGTATGGCTGTTAGAGTCTGGGGAGAAGGTTCGGCCAGTAGGAGAAGGTTCGGCCAGTGGAGTGTGGCTGGGAGAAAATGAAGGAGTGGACTGGCTATTTGATGTAGTTGGAAGACTGCTATCAGGCGTGAAAATGGGTGGTGTAGGGTAACCTGGCTGGGTTTCTTGGGTAGAGGGTAATTGCAGCTGGTTTGGAGAAAAGATCACAGTAGGACTAAGAGAAGTAGGAGGGGCAGCATCCTGTGAATGGGAATAAGCAGTGGTTCGTGTGGGAACTAAGGTAACGGTGGAAGACAGCATACTAGATGAAGACAAGGTAGTACCCGTTAACTTAGAATATGGAAAAACATTTTCTAGAAATCTGACATTTCTACTAATGTAAACCCTACCAGAAATAGGATCAAGACAACGATACCCTTTATATTCTGACGCATATCCAAGAAAAACACACTGAACTGACCGTGGTGAAATTTTATTTGCTGATGTGGCATTAAAATTGGGAAAGCAAGCACAACCAAAAACGCGCATACCAGATAAATCTGGTGCAGAATGAAATAATTTTTCATACGGAGACACACCATGTAGAGTAGGAGAGGGTAACCGATTTATGATAAAAGTGGCAGTAAGAACAGCATCAACCCAAAACTGAGCGGGCAAATTGGCGGTGATGAGCATGGTACGCGCTAATTCAATTAGATGGCGGTGTTTGCGCTCAGCAACGCCATTTTGCTGCGGAGTTTCAGGACAAGATTTTTGAAAAATAATACCAGATTCATTAAAAAATTGTCTCATCTGAAAATTATCAAATTCACCCCCTCCATCACTCTGAAAAATCTTAATTTTGCGGTCAAGTAAATTTTCAGCCATTAACTTAAAATGGTGAAAATGAGTAGTAACCTCAGACTTGCGCCGCATGGGATACAGCCATGTAAAACGAGAGAAGTCATCCACAAAGCATACATAATATTTAAATCCAAGATTAGAAAGCACAGGGGATTGCCAAACATCAGAATGAATTAAATATAAAGCACACGGACTATTGTGAAAAACTTTATTAAAAGGTAATCGTTGTGATTTTCCCAAACGACAGGGAATACAATCAGAAACTGAAGCAGAAGTGCCAGAAATGAAATTATTTTTCCTAAGTTGATCTAAAACACGAGTACCACAATGACCTAGTCTATTATGCCAAAGAGAAACGGAAGCAACTGAAAGGGCAACTGACGAAGATGGAGGCTGACGAACAGGGTAAACTCCATTATCACTGACCGCTCGTAGAAGAACCGCCCCCGTTGATTTGTCCTTTACAGAAAAACAATTTTTATCAAAAGTTACAACACAGTTGTTATCAGCACATAATTTCTGAATGGATAAAAGATTATACTTAATATTGGGAACATGAAAAACAGATTTTAAGTGAAGAGGACGAGCGGAGGAATTTAAAACAGCCTCACCACAATGCATAACTGGGAGAGATGTACCATTAGCCACTATAATGGAATGAGAGTTAGGGGAAAAGGTTTTATTAGTCAAGATACCTGGATGGGGAGTCATATGCGCAGAGGCACCGGAGTCCGGATACCAGACAAAGTCAGATGCTTCAGGAACTTGAGCAGCAAGAGCAGGAGCAGCCGGCTGAACAAAACGGGAAGGACAGGTAGAGGCAGGATGACCTGGAGCATAACAAATCTGACAAACTACAGGAGAAGGAACAGAATTCCCCTCACCAGATGTAGAGCCTGCATAGTCACGATTAGCACAAGAAGCAGATAAAGCATAAGTATGAATATGTGACTGAACAGATATACCTGCCGAGCCCGGAGACCCAAGAATGCCTGCGTGTGGAGCACCCCCTGGAACAAAACCCGGAGGTTTCTGACCATGACCCAGCTGTGGTCCGTATGCATAGCCAGGCTGGGGAGGACCATAACCGCGGCCACCCCTGCCACGACCTCCTCTGCCTCGCTGCCCGCGGCCTCCCCGGCCGCGATATCCTCTCCCACGGTGTTGCTGCCCACCTTGCGGAGGTGGCTGCCCCGCAGCCTGAGCTTGGCCAGCAAAGGCTTGAGCTTGAGGTGGTTCTTCCAAAGATTGCATGTACTGAAGAGTTTGCTCCTTTTCAATCAAACAGTCACGTAGTCTTTCAAAAGTGAAGCTCTCCGGAAACAGATTAACTGATGTAATAAGAGACTCATAGTCCCGTCCCAAACCACTTAAAATTATTTTAAACAGTTCACGAGGAGCAACAGGATCATTAATCATGGCTAAGTCATCAGCAATTAATTTAATGTCGCGAAGATAATGCTCCATAGACTGGTTTGGGCCCTTTCTAGTGTGAGTCAATTTCCGTTTCAATTCCATGGAGCGGGCAAGACTAGCAGACATAAAATGTGCTTCTAACCGATTCCAAATAGCAAAAGAATTTTTCAACTCACGCACCTCAATCAATACATCACGAGACAACGTAGCAAACAACCAAGAACGGACAGTTTGATCAAGTTTAAGCCAATTACAATAATCTGGGTTCAGTGTCTCATGAGGATATGCATCAACAATATAGGGGGAAGGAGCAGGAATTGAGCCATCTAAAATCCCCAAAAAACCATTGGATACCAGAAACGACTCAAATTGGGTACGCCAAGTAATATAATCCTCAACAGTAGATAATTTGGTAGTAACAATATTGGTGATATTAAGGGCAGAAAGTCCAATATTCTTAACCAAATCGGTTAGAAGGGCACCTGAGTTTGCTGAGGAGAGGCGTGAGCCAATCGGACCTGGAGAAAGCTGCGGAACAATACCAGGAGCTCTGGCAAAAGTTGGGCCGGCGAAACTGGAAGTTGATGCGCCTGGAGAAGGAAAAATTCCGCCTCTGGGAAAGAATGTTGGCGCTGGCGGACGTATGGAAGGAGGAGACGGAGTCCAGGTAAATATGGGAGGGATCCAAGCGCTGGCTTCAGGCGAACTCACCTGAGCAGTCCACTGCTGCGAGATAACCGGTGAGGCAGAGAAGAGAGAGCTGCCGCTTGCAGGCGCTGAGAAGGGAGAGCCGACGGAGAGGGCTGCCTCAGAGGAAGGAGATAGCATCGCAGCGGCGGTGGAGAAGACCTGCGCAGAGCTCATCGCGGCGGCAGTGGTGGAGTATTCCGCGGCTGAGGAGATCGGCTCTAGTGACGACATAATCGACCGAGAAAAAAGAAAAGGGTTTTAGATGGTAGTGGCTCTGATACCATGTGAGAATAATACCAGGCTATCTCTAATGGTAGCCCTGGCAGATATATTTATAATAGAAAGAGTTCAATATTACAATAAGAGTCCCACAATAATAAATAATAAGAAATCTACTCTATTAACATATACATGTGTAAACTAGGGTATGTAGGTATCAAAAACATCAAGGGTGTTCATATAAACACGAGAGACATATTAATGCAACTTTGAGTCAAAGATTTAACTGGAAATGCGTGAGTAATGGATTACCTCTCAAAAAGTTTGAAGGTTTAGAATAACTTCAAATTTTCTACTGTCAAAATGCTCTTCCCATAGATGATCACCAAAATGACTTAGAAATACAAATTATTACACAAGTTCAACATTCAGACGGCACCAAGACAGCAATAAGCAACACTTTAGTAGCCTTCCTGCTATTCACGGTTTAGTTCATTAAAGGAATTAGGAAGCCATAATAACAAGAACCTCCTACTATTTAAATTTAGCCTGATACAAAATATAAAGGTTTTAAAAAGCAAGCTTACTTTTTAAAAACATTATAATACAGCAAACATCAACTTGACATTCATTTGTGATTCCTAACTGATAATCGAGTCTATTGAAAAGTTCATAGTATTTGAAGTCTATTCAAGTTATACTTTGTAGTATTTTAATTTGGGTTTACAAAAGTTCATAAAACACCTACTTGGTCGTACTGCTACTTAACATAACACTGATAGATCAAACAATTGGGATTACAATTGTTCAATATACTGATAAGCAAGTTGTCTTTCTATAGACTACATGCATGCATAACCTCAAAAACATTAAAAGATAAAAACTAGAACAGAGAATATGCTTGGATTATTTAGTGACAAAGAGACGAGAGCAACAGAACAACCTAGGTAAGAACTTCTCAAGAAAATATGCCTACTCTATGTCCTGCTCAGGCTGATTTGTGAGCTCAATAGCAACACCCGGCTTACAAGTTCATGGGCAACATTAGCATAGAAGAATATAGCTCATATATCATAATAATCCAAATAGAAAATAAGAACGAGGATACAAAAACGTGATACTCTGCACATTACAAGTCGGCTATACAGAAGAAGAATGACCGAAGAAATCCAACAAATAGAAAAAACAGAAAAAAATCAACAAAAACATCACATACCTTCATTCATTTGTAGTTCATGAAAAAGCATAAGGATAACAACAGGATTATTAAAGTAGGTTTGTTTGAAGAGAAGAAATATTTGTTGTCTGGTTGAACCATGAAGAGAAAATGATGGTGAAGGTTTGCGTAAAGAGAGGGCCATGAAGAGGGTATGGAGGATATCAGGGATTTAGGGCATAAATGGTAAAGTCCTAATCGCTAAAATGTGCACACTGCTCCCCCAACGTTTCATTTATCGGCTTCTTCGCACCAATCAGTCAAACATACCAGCCGATTACCAAACTTTAATTTTTGCATTTTGGCTGATCAGTCGTTTTCCAAAGAAGGCCTAAATCTAGCGTCCTATCAATAAGATTATATTTATTACTCAATTTACTCTCCTATCATACTCCCCAACTAGTTAGTGGACATCATAGGGTGCATATATTATTTATCACAAACTATGACTAATGAAATTTATTTTAATTTTCCATCTCTCCCAAAGCTAAAGAGCATATTACGAAATTTTCCTTTTTATACTAAAAAATGTAGTGATTAAAACTTTATCAATCATTTTTGGTGTTATCAATCTCTTCATGATAAAAATCTTGGTCGCAAATGACACGGGAGTAATTTGATACTGCAAGCTGCAGGATGCACAAACTAAAAGAGCAATAAACAATGAATAGAAAATATTCCAAAAACACATTAATCTAAAGGCTGAAAGTTTTCAAAGTTAACAAAAACAGACTCGTTTGCAAAGTCGTCATCAATAGTTTCCATCCAAAATGGTAGGACTACTTAATACTCATCAGCCTCGTACGAACCGGGTGAAGAATCATAACTGGGTTCTGGACTCCGGTACATTCCATTTCTTATATGGATCTTCAGCCTGCCATTCAGAAATAACATCTTCTCAAAGTCACGTAGGAAAATATGATCATTTGTTTCATGTGAATGATTGATGAAAGTCCCATGTACATTGTATGATGTTGAGACACACCAAGTTTAACATGAAATATTGACATCCAAATATCCAATACTCCAATAAACAAAAACGTTGTGATGAAATGGGAACACACTCACAATAGGAAAACTCAAATAAAAAGGATTAATCAGTATAAAACTAACTTTTTATCTGTCAACCATAACTTCCCAACTCCCAGCAGACGACTACTCTTCAGTCTTCACAAGTCCAAGAAAATGCATACTAATCACAAGTATTTGTTTGATGGGGGGGGGGGGGGGGCTTTGAAGGGAAGGAAGGCCGGAAGGGTAGGGTCATATTTACTCCATCAGATTATTCTTATTTTAGAAAGTGAGAAGAACTTAAACACTAAAAACTACATAGTACTAATAGAGGTAATTTAGCATTACAAACGTAAATCCTCCCCTAGTCCCCCCATAATCATCAAACCAAACCTGCCCTAAGGGAGTGATTGGTTCAACCATAGTGGAGGTGAGAGGGTCCAAGAACCTAATTCCCAAGTCGTGTGAAATGAATACATTTCATGTCCAAGCAAAAACAATTTTAAGAAAGAAATTAAAACTTGTCCTCTGCAAATAGATTGCTAGCTACTGAACAAAGACTCTCCTCAATAATTGCCAGAAAATTGACTAGTACGTAGTATAGTATATCGTTTCAAATTTCCAAGTTAGTAACATACCATTATAAGTCTATAGTGCAATTTAAAGTTTTTCATATCATTGAAACATTTAGGTATATAATAAAATCAGCGAAAACATAAGTTTATCAACTTCAAAAGCCACCATATAAACGAAGACTAATGAGTAATAGTTTTGACCTTGTAATAGTTCTCTGTTTGGTCTTTTTTCTCTTCCTCTTCACACCTGTTGAAGTTGAGATGGGTTTACTGTTACTGCCACGGTCGTCGAGGCGGTAGAGGCTTCCTGGACAAACTTGAGAAGAAAAGCCTGAGAGACCATCAACTTTGACCTGCTTCACTGAATTGCTTTCAATATCAACCCAAAAAAAACCATATTCACGCTGCAGGATAACCTGCTTTTTGTTCTTCATATAAGCAACAAGTTTGGGTGAGTCAAAAGAGTAAAGGCGAAATGAGAGCAATTTCGTCCAAGGGTTTTCTACTCTGTATTCTTGCAATTCCCATCCATCAAAATGACACCCCGAACTTGTGAAGTAACTGTAACTCAAAATTAATAATCCACTGATAGCATCCAAATACATATCAATTATCTCTTTGGAGGGTAATGGGGGGAGAGGAATACGGCTGTATTCTTCAGTAACAAGATCCAGAGTGATAATCATTCGACATACATACCAATGCAATTTTCCATTCACAGAAACTCCATTAACATGATTAGGGATACTGAAAAAATCATAAGGACAATCCTTAATTCTCTTCCAAGAACCCAACTTCAAGCTGTAAATGAGAGTTCTGCAAAGATATTTTTCACCACGATAAATTGTGTCTAACCTAACAACTTTGTAGTCATCAGAAACATGATCATACCCTATACCCGCAGCGGCAAAGGAAAAAGTAGAACAACCGGGTAGGGGCAACTGATGGCAGTCTCTAGTTAAGGGGTTCCAAACCGCCCAAATCTTGTCAAGGTCGTAAGAGGATATAAGAATCAAACCATTGCAGGAGTTCACTGGAAGACTCCGTATGCGAGGCACGTCAAGACGAACCAATTGCTTCACCGGAATTACTTCAATCATCTTGCCTTCATCATTCAAGTCATCCGTGAATTCTAGGGAGTCAAAGTTTATGAGATAAAATGGTGGTGAACCAGAGCCTTTTTTGATAAGAAGAGTGCTTGAGGAGATTTGATTTTGTGTGTGGGCTTTGACGAAAGATGGGTCATCAATGAGACGGCACCAGTCCTTGCAAACACTTCTGAAGCGGAAAAGGGAATCGGCTGGCAGGAAAAGAAGTATTTGGCGGTAGAGTTGAGAGGGGATGTCAGACATTTTGGGAGCAGATTCCAGAATCGAAGATGAGGTTTAGATTAGACCTTAGAAGAGAAAGTCGAAGCCTTTACAAAGAAATAAAGAGGATATGAACCGCCAACTCTATGATGTTGGGAGGGGATGTTCCCGCCAAAGCTTCCAATGGGAAGTGGGCGGTGAGTGTTGGACTCCGCTATATTCGAGTCGCTATATTCCTGTTATAGGAGTCGCATAGAATGAAAATATTTTAGATTTTTTTAGAAGAATATTACTAAAATAAAATTTATTTACATAAATATGACTATTCATTACTACAACGTAGTATTATGATAACTTAAGTTCAAAACTTGAACATGAATTACTATGATTTCATTACTACTCTAGTAACAAGTCATATTTTCGTAAACCATCTTCATTTTGGTCATATTTATGTAATTATTTCAATATTTTATTACGGGAAAAGAATAAAAAGTCATTGAAAGATTGCTCCAAAAAAAATCATTGTAAGATTAAAAGGGTGTTTGGTAAATGTAGTTTCAGACCATAAAAATGGCGGTTTGACCACTTTTGGCGTTTGTGATAAGCGAAAATGTTGTTTGATATATAGCGGTTTGGTATAACAGTTTGGTATAGCGTTTTTGGATGGAACTGTTGAAATGAAAATGCTACAAATAGGAGAGTTTCGGGTTAACATTTTGAAAAATGACATTTTCTATTAATTTTATGACTAAACGGCTAAATTACCAAACCTTTTCTAACAACCCGTCAACTTATTCCGCTAGTCAAACCCGCTGATTGAATCTGGTATTGACAATCTGCTAACATAATCCGCTATCCGCTAAATGTCAAACACACCCTAAATTAAAGAAGTGCTTGCAATTGGTCAAAAGAGTTGAAATTAAAAAAAATACTTTTCATCTTTTGGTTTTGAAAAAGTTTAAATTGGTGTTTTCAAATTAAATGACAATTTTTGCTTAAATTAAGCACTTAGATGTTTTCTTTTGGATTGATCTTATTAATCTTATTAATAAGTTGACTCATCTTATCAATCTTTCTTTTGTTAGTGTTTTTTGCCTTTTCTAATGTATGAGTGAAGATTGTGAGTATTGCTTTCATTTGATTAATTTTTATTTATTTGTCTTCTATTATTCTAAAGCTCAAGTGGGGAAAAATAAAAAGTATTGTAACACAATCTTTGAAAAGGCTATTAACTATTAAGGTTCAATGTTATCTAATAAAATATGGCAAATGTTCCCCGGCGTTTGCCCCATGAATTTTGGTGGTTTGCCTTCCGGGTTAAAAAAAAAATATTAAGGTTCAATGTTATATACAAACATACACTACACCTTATATATGCTTGCAAATTCACAAAATCCAAGAAAATGCAAATTTATGCTAACAGAATGTGAAGGAAATAGATCTTTTCATGTTGTTACCTTAGCCAAAAGATCTAATGTAAGGACAACATGGATTTTATATGATACAATTTAACTTTGAAATTTGTATCCACTTGCACATACATCTTTTGTCTGTCGAATGAATCAAATCTCTACCTTCTAAACTTCTCAACTGTGCTTCAAGCTGTCAAAGGGCATATCATTTTATATGAATATAAGGTTGTAATAAAGTCTATTTGAATATATATGAAATAAAGTAATTGGAGACTAAGTTTGTTACCAACTCTTACTCATCCATCTTTGATTTACTATATTCTATCTTATTAGTTAATTTCCCTTATTCGATAATAATTTCTGAAGTTATTCAGTTATCTAATTTAACGAGTCTAATTAACTTTTTTTTTTCTATAGTTATAATTTGATTAGTAATTGTTACTTTCTGAAGTTAGTATAGCTTTAAATCCTTTTTATTTATTCAACATATGGAGTTGTTTGCCAATACCCCCCCCCCTACCCCCAAATTCTCTTGATAACCTCATCATTATGGGTTTAACCGCTTAATAACTTGAAATACTCATATGTATTTGGGTAGCAACATTTTGGGAGTAGCTAAGAAAAGGGATTTGAACTGTAAACGAATGACTAGTATCACTAAATTTGCATCTAGAAAATGAATTTTCTGGAAAATGAGTTTGTAAGTTGGGTTTCTTACACAAAAATGGTTGAGTTGGGAGTAGGAAAAGGGACTTGAACTATAAGCTAAGGACTTCTATCACTAAATATATTCTTGGTGAAAAGACCATGTATGTATGTTTATTAAACTAAAAACTTTTTGTTGTTGTGTGACGGTGTGGTATTGCCAGGAGCCCAGGACAGTCTAATTATATTGTGGAGATCATTGGTCTGGGATATCAAGTGCCCATATGATTTCAAACTGAGGTCCATGTGCCATGCTGAAGGTGCATTTTGTTTCCTCAATTTCTACAGCCTTCATATCAAGCTTCATCCACTGCCAGATTCTCATAAAAGCTTCATCTGATGATTATGTTTATAGTAAGAACAACTGCTACCGTTCTATCTTCGATACGTTATCTTCTATATGACCAATATGGGTTGAGAACTTTTTCTTATTCCAGACAATGTAGCCATCTTCACAACTCCAAGAAAGCTCAATGAAAAGCTGCAGGTGATGTATATATTTCTGCTATTTGCTGAACTAATTAACTTTTTGTTTCTTATTTCTTACCCTCATCAAGCTACTCCAAGCTACTTTGAAAGAGTTTAGAAAGAAAAAAAACAGTTTGGAAAATATAGCTACTGCACCGATTCTAAATCACATGAACCAATAAAAGATTTCAATGAGAAATGAACGCAAACTATGAAATCATTCATGCCAAGTTAGGCCTAAATGAGAAAATACAGAGTTCTAATTCAAGCACTAAAACCAGCAAAATACTAATCAAATATCATAAACCAAAGCTTTGAATCAACTCCAAGGGACAAAATCGTAACTGCGAGTCTTTCGTTTTGCCCTATAATGTAAAAGTGAGGGTGAAGAGAGTTTATGGTCCTTTGATTAAAATATTTTAAAAAAAGCTCAATGAAATTGAAAGTATTATCCAAATATCTAAACTGAATCATCATCATTTTCACTTATTCCAGTGCCGCTAAATGTCAAACACACCCTAAATTAAAGAAGTGATTGCAATTGGTCAGAAGAGTTGAAATTAAAAAAAAAATACTTTTCATCTTTTGGTTTTGAAAAAGTTTAAATTGGTGTTTTCAAATTAAATGACAATTTTTGCTTAAATTAAGCACTTAAATGTTTTCTTTTGGATTGATCTTATTAATCTTATTAATAAGTTGACTCATCTTATCAATCTTTCTTTTGTTAGTGTTTTTTGCCTTTTCTAATGTATGAGTGAAGATTGTGAGTATTGCTTTCATTTGATTAATTTTTATTTATTTGTCTTCTATTATTCTAAAGCTCAAGTGGGGAAAAATAAAAAGTATTGTAACACAATCTTTGAAAAGGCTATTAACTATTAAGGTTCAATGTTATCTAATAAAATATGGCAAATGTTCCCCGGCGTTTGCCCCATGAATTTTGGTGGTTTGCCTTCCGGGTTAAAAAAAAAATATTAAGGTTCAATGTTATATACAAACATACACTACACCTTATATATGCTTGCAAATTCACAAAATCCAAGAGAATACAAATTTATGCTAACAGAATGTGAAGGAAATAGATCTTTTCATGTTGTTACCTTAGCCAAAAGATCTAATGTAAGGACAACATGGATTTTATATGATACAATTTAACTTTGAAATTTGTATCCACTTGCACATACATCTTTTGTCTGTCGAATGAATCAAATCTCTACCTTCTAAACTTCTCAACTGTGCTTCAAGCTGTCAAAGGGCATATCATTTTATATGAATATAAGGTTGTAATAAAGTCTATTTGAATATATATGAAATAAAGTAATTGGAGACTAAGTTTGTTACCAACTCTTACTCTTCCATCTTTGATTTACTATATTCTATCTTATTAGTTAATTTCCCTTATTCGATAATAATTTCTGAAGTTATTCAGTTATCTAATTTAACGAGTCTAATTAACTTTTTTTTTCTATAGTTATAATTTGATTAGTAATTGTTACTTTCTGAAGTTAGTATAGCTTTAAATCCTTTTTATTTATTCAACATATGGAGTTGTTTGCCAATACCCCCCCCCCTACCCCCAAATTCTCTTGATAACCTCATCATTATGGGTTTAACCGCTTAATAACTTGAAATACTCATATGTATTTGGGTAGCAACATTTTGGGAGTAGCTAAGAAAAGGGATTTGAACTGTAAACGAATGACTAGTATCACTAAATTTGCATCTAGAAAATGAATTTTCTGGAAAATGAGTTTGTAAGTTGGGTTTCTTACACAAAAATGGTTGAGTTGGGAGTAGGAAAAGGGACTTGAACTATAAGCTAAGGACTTCTATCACTAAATATATTCTTGGTGAAAAGACCATGTATGTATGTTTATTAAACTAAAAACTTTTTGTTGTTGTGTGACGGTGTGGTATTGCCAGGAGCCCAGGACAGTCTAATTATATTGTGGAGATCATTGGTCTGGGATATCAAGTGCCCATATGATTTCAAACTGAGGTCCATGTGCCATGCTGAAGGTGCATTTTGTTTCCTCAATTTCTACAGCCTTCATATCAAGCTTCATCCACTGCCAGATTCTCATAAAAGCTTCATCTGATGATTATGTTTATAGTAAGAACAACTGCTACCGTTCTATCTTCGATACGTTATCTTCTATATGACCAATATGGGTTGAGAACTTTTTCTTATTCCAGACAATGTAGCCATCTTCACAACTCCAAGAAAGCTCAATGAAAAGCTGCAGGTGATGTATATATTTCTGCTATTTGCTGAACTAATTAACTTTTTGTTTCTTATTTCTTACCCTCATCAAGCTACTCCAAGCTACTTTGAAAGAGTTTAGAAAGAAAAAAAACAGTTTGGAAAATATAGCTACTGCACCGATTCTAAATCACATGAACCAATAAAAGATTTCAATGAGAAATGAACGCAAACTATGAAATCATTCATGCCAAGTTAGGCCTAAATGAGAAAATACAGAGTTCTAATTCAAGCACTAAAACCAGCAAAATACTAATCAAATATCATAAACCAAAGCTTTGAATCAACTCCAAGGGACAAAATCGTAACTGCGAGTCTTTCGTTTTGCCCTATAATGTAAAAGTGAGGGTGAAGAGAGTTTATGG